ATGCCAGCGGAACTTGATACCTTCGCTATAGATTTAGGCCAGATGTTCATCTAAAACTGTCATTTTTAGAAAAAGGGTTTTCAAGGACTGATTTACCTTCACGACAGAAGAAAACGTAAACGTTTTCTATCAATTTGTGAAGAACTAATATTTTTATAACGGGCACATGAAAAGGCTAGTTCAAAAGTAGAAATTGGAAAGCTCTACAACAAAAGAAAAAAGGTCACAACAAAACAATCGATCGCACTGAATAATAACTATCCACTTTCAGCGGGTTCAATTGAGTCTTCGCCACCCTGTTATTAAATACTGTAGAATGGAAATGGAAATTACATTTTTTCAGGGACACGTTTAATTGTAGTGTATATTCTTTTCCTGCTGAACACATGTTGTTGACGCGTTGAAATAACTTAATATTGTATTTCAGACAATGACATGTTTAGACAGGATAATAACAAGTTCATGAAACAACATAATTCAAATTGAGGATAAATTGCGTTATGCCATTACAACTCAAAGAATGAATAAAAAACAATCAGTGAAACAAACGATGAAATAATAAAGGCTCAACAGAGTGTGATTCGAAATGCTACAGCTTCAAAAGAGACAATGTAATGAATTAGTTCAGTGGGGACCGTGATTTCGGAAAGCGATTCGGGATTTTTTCATTCATTTGTCAAAACCATGCAAGATATAATCAAAAACCGGGAAGTCAAAATTCGATTATGACTAAATGTGAATTATCAACTGGCTGACGTCCTTTATGTCAAGTTGCCATTAATACTTGTATGACGTCACTCCTTCGCCACTTAACGATAACTTTTGATTTCAAAGCAACTAAGAACTGAATTTTATTTTCAGTTAATCAAAACTAGGGCTGGCTACATTACGCACATAAATTATGACAATGGGCGACCTGAATTCCCAAAAAAGCCCTGTAAGTGATCAAGTAGAAATAATTAATGAACTTTATCAGTACCCTGTCTGGCATTATATCCAAGATAATTCAGCGAGAAAAATGTCTCGCAAAATCTCGGTGTCCGCAAAGTCAACCTTCCCCCCTCCCCTCAGTTCTAGGGAGCGTAGGCGTTTAATATTCACTGCCTTGGCCGTCCTAGGAGAAATCCACGAAATTTGGAAAAGCATTTTTGAAGCCTTCGGGATGTAGTTAGTTTATTTTCGATAAAAATAAATTGTGAGAAGTTGACAGCGGATTATTTCAAAATTGAAATGGGAAACTCTTAAACTGTAATGTAAAAGTTATATTAATTTACTTTTAATTAAACGACATAATTATTTCAAATTCTCAATTTGCTGGAAATTTAAAAAAAATCATTTTGCAAAAATTATAGATGAAATGATTTTAAAATAATCAATACCTCCGCCATTTTTTTTATTAGTAATCCCTTCTTCGTTATCACAGCCAGACCCAGCATTACAGATAAAAAATTCTTTAACTGAACTCTATTTACCATCAGTACCATAGACAAGAGCCTCCCTGCTGAGATCAATAATCGCCATTAATATGCAGTCGCGCGCGTCAATGCTTGGAAGAGTGCAGAGGAGTGACGCTGACGTATGACTACGTCAAAACGATTAATTGCATTTCAGAGGGTTTCAAATTATGACCATGTTATTTTTCTGACACTAGGGCGGCGCCACCATCGTGGGAGATGAATTTTATAATGACTTGACACTTGTCACTTTTTTGATTTGAGATTCGTTTCGAGCACAGTGCATGGTTAGCATCCTTGTAGAAAGAATTTAAAAAAAACCTGCTCAAATCAATTAATAAAATTATTGAGACTACGAGTAGGTTAGTGAATAACCAGGAAATACCTATTAAATCTATACTTATAATAAATCTGTAGAGAGGTCAATTCTGTACATGAAATATATTTTCAAAATAACTATCAGGGGGTGATTAGTGATCAATACTGATGCCAAAAATGCAATCAGTAAAATTTTTGTCTGTCTGTCTGTCTGTCTGTCTGTCTGTCTGTCTGTCTGTATGTTCCTTATAGAAACAAAAACTACTTGACGGATTTTAACGAAACTTGGTACAATTATTCTTCGTACTCCTGGGCAGGTTATAGGATACTTAGGAATTCCCACGGGCACGGGAATTAGCGGGAAAATCCTTTTGTATGAAAAATCTAAACTGCTTAAGTTAGACGCTTGAAATTTGGCATGCTGGTACCTTAGTAAACTGAAAGCTTAGTTACAACAGAATATTGCAAAATTCCCACGGGAACGGGAGTTAGCGGGAAAAAACATTTGTATGAAAAATCTAAACCGCTTAAGTTAGACGCTTGAAATTTGGCATGCAGGTACCTACCTTAGTAAACTCAAAGCTTAGTTACAACAGGATATTGCAAAATTCCCACGGGAACGGGAGTTAGCGGGAAAAAACATTTTTATGAAAAAATCTAAACCGCGTAAGATAGATGAAGGGGGTAAAACGGGATTCACGCGTACGAAGTCGCGGGCGGCCGCTAGTCTATACTAATATTATAAATGCGAAAGTAACTGTCTGTCTGTCTCACTTTCACGCCTAAACCACTGAACCGATTTAGATGAAATTTAGCAGGGAAGTAGTTTCAGTCCCGGGAAAGGACATAGGATAGTTTTTATCCCGGTTTTTGAAACAGGGACGCGCGCGATAAGGTTTTTCTGTGGTAGACAAAATTCCACATACATACATTAATACTCATAACATTGAGAAAGAAGTCACATGGCAAACGAATGAATAATAAACTAGATTGTGAAAGAATTATTACTTTCGCCCAACCTTGTAGGCGGGTTTAGTAAAAGTTATTCGAATATTTAACTAAGATTCAAGGACTCAGCCCGACTGTCTGGCCTGGCTGCAATACGCAATGCGCACTCACCGCAGTCAAAAGTTTAAACCACAGTTTAATCTACTTAACTAACCATGTAGAGATGATATTTTTTCTATAAAATCTTAAGCTGAGTTGCACCACCTAACTTTGACCGTAACTATCACGATAACCGGCGTTTTTTGTATGGAATTTGACAGATGTTTGACGTTTGTCAAAGTTAAAGTAAGATCGCGCAACCCAGCCTGTCTTTAATTTTAAAACCAAGCTAATAAAGATGTTATCAAATAAAAATTGGTACCTAATTAACAGGACGCTGTTAGCAAAAATATTTTTCCCTTCCTTCTTTTAAATAGCCACAAAGCTTGTTCAAACTTCAACGTTTGTGTGCCCCTGTTTAATCCCTCTGCTAAAATTAATAAACTAAGTAGGTCGTCAATATGACAAAACATAATTACTTATGCCGCAATATCATTATTCCTTTCTTTTCAATTCAATCGCGTAACCTTGTTATAATGCGAACTATTTACATGAAAAACTTTTTTTACAAAGCATTTACATTTTGATAATGTAATACAAAGTTCCAACAACGAGGTCAGGCTATAATACCGAATTACTATGCGAATAATTTAGCAATTTGTTAGCGTCAATAATATTTATTCACCTACATGAAATAGCTACTTGAAGTATTTTTCCTGATAAAATGTCTGAAACGCTGACGTATTTGGCTTTGTTATTTTCGGCAATACATATGAAATTAAGTCAGCAGATTTTTAAGTAACACGGTAAATGTTGCGTGCTCTGTATTCGAGTGTCAGGAGTTGAACAAATGCCAATTTAGACAAAGTCAGGGTGACTAGTCGACACGACATTGGCACCAACTTGGCGACGACGTTTGTGAGGGCACTCACCTTTTTAATCTTCACGAGACTGAATTTCGACAGTAAAAATCGACTATGCGAAAGTAATAAAATAAAGTTCAAATCATAAAAACTCGAGCATTGTCTTGGAGTTTGTAATGTGTTCCATCAAACAGAACTGTCTCTTGTTTACGACGACAAATTGCACGACTATAAAACAATTCATCTTAGTTATTGCATCGTTTCTTCACCTAAGTATGTAAATATGTTATTGCGTACTTTTTGTTTCAACTGTATCAACCTTTGGATAATCGGTTGGATAAAGATAAAATACCTTTTATCAAAACCCTAATTGATTTTTGACACTGACCTGGTTATACAACGTTATTCTATAACGTATCACCTGTTTCATCAGCCGCCCACTGCCGCAACTGTTTGACCAGAAAAGACCAGACATACAAAGCAGGTCAATCAAGACAGTCCCAATTTTATTTCATTCGTCGGTAACTCCTATGGTGGCGGGTCGTAGAGCTTCTGCTGTAGCTGATAAAGGAGCCATGTAACCCATGCCATTAACTTGGCTGCGAGTGGCGCTTGGGATCGGCGCTGGCGCACGACACAATCGCACAACTCGCGGTTATACGTATACGCTCGGGGTCGTCTATCCCAGCGTGCTATGCCTATTGTTCTCAACTGCCACTGACCTGGCTGCGAGTGGCGCTTGGGCTCGGCGGCGGCGCGCGGCGACAGCGGCTCGGTGCCGCGCGACACGATCCTGCGCAGCTCGCGGTTGTGCTCGGGGTCGCTGCCCGACCACTGCTTCAGCTGTAGCTGTCGAGGGACCATCTCCCCGCTGCTATGGAGCTGGCACTGACCTGGCTGCGAGTGGCGCTTGGGCTCGGCAATCTTGCGCAGCTCGCGGTTGTACTCGGGGTCACTGGCGGACTGGTTCAGCTGTAGCTGACGAGGGACCATCTACCCGCTGCTATGGAGCTGGCACTGACCTGGCTGCGAGTGGCGCTTGGACTCGGCAATCTTGCGCAGCTCGCGGTTGTACTCGAGGTCACTGGCGGACTGGTTCAGCTGTAGCTGACGAAGGACATCTCCCCGCTGCTATGGAGCTGGCACTGACCTGGCTGCGAGTGGCGCTTGGGCTCGGCGGCGGCGCGCGGCGACAGCGGCTCGGTGCCGCGCGACACGATCCTGCGGAGCTCGCGGTTGTGCTCGGGGTCGCTGGCCGACTGCTTCAGCTGTAGCTGACGAAGGACCGTCTCCCCGCTGCTATGGAGCTGGCACTGACCTGGCTGCGAGTGGCGCTTGGGCTCAGCGGCGGCGCGCGGCGACAGCGGCTCGGTGCCGCGCGACACGATCCTGCGGAGCTCGCGGTTGTGCTCGGGGTCGCTGCCCGACCACTGCTTCAGCTCCGTCACGCCGTCCGCGTGGACCTCCTTCATGAACGACTCGATGAGCTCCTTGCCTGGAGACAATTGATATTGTTACTAGAGAAAGATAAAGGGCTATAATGCTCTAGTTCAGCGGTTCCCGAAAGGTTGTCCGCGGAACCCTGGGGTTCCGTGGAAAGGCCGCAAGGGTTCCGTAAAAAATATTATCCCACATTTCGTGACCGACGTTGTGCGCGCGCACCGACTTGTTTACGCACAAGGGAGGGGCAGGGCGTGCGGGCGGAGTAGTACGGGGGTTCCGCTAGGAAAAGTATAATCAATTTATTAGGGTTCCTTGGCAAAAAAAAATTGGGAAACCCTGCTCTAGTTCTTCAAAAGGTACACCCATCAACGGAAAAGAAATATGATTCAGATTTTCAGAGGGCACCTTGAACCATCGATCTAATTATGACATAGCGCCTATCCTAACACTACACACACGGTAGAAGAAGCCAAAGCTCACGCAAAAAAAACCTAATTAATCTGAAGATTTCATAGTCATCATTAATAAGTTAGCTCAAAAGAAAGTAAGAGCAATCGATACAACAAGTAATCGAACGAAGGCCAAATGTAGCCAATAATATAGACCTGTTGCAAGCTGAAATTAAAATGCCAGAGGGCGGGGAATGTCTGACCGATTGGGCTAGTTATGTATAGAAATGTATGATTAGTGTTTAAATACTTTATGGGCTAAGTAGTCTATGAGGACTATGAAGTCGTTGACAGTCTGATTTTCTTACGATGCTTCTCTATACTGGCCCATTTACTGTCTCGAAGCAGTGGTAGGATTAATAAACCAATACTAGGACGTGTAAAAGCGCTTTTTACAAGGCTGTTTGCAGAAAATGAATAACTTTTTTAAAAAGGCATAAAAGTTCTCGAGTGGCGGGACCAAGAAGACTTAGTGTGGGTCCTGCCCACACTACGTCTCTCACTATGTGCACTGTGCAGCGACGATCTGGTGAAGGTTTTAGGAAGAACCTGGATTCGGGCAGCACAGGACCGATCGTTGAGGAAATCATTAGGTCCAGTCCAGCGCTGGACTTCATTTAACCGAAACGAAATGTATTTTTATGACTTAATATGCTGACCTTTGGCGATGTTGGAGGCGTACTGCTTGATGGCGATCTTCTCTATCGTGTTCTCCAGGCCGAAGAAGTTCTTCACGTCGAGCAGCGCCTTCTGCTCGAAGCACGTCCAATCACTGTTCTCGGGGTGAACCTGGGGAAGGAATGGCTTTGTTATTACTGGGTCGTGAGGATACCAGATTACTGAGAGGCAGTAATGGACAAAAGTTGGTATGATAACATATTTCGTAAATGCAAACATTAATTAGTGTCCGACCGAATGTTCGGTTTCGGTTTCGTTTTCGGTTGAGTTTCGGTAAAAACACGAGTTTCGGTTTAGTTTCGTTTTCGGCGGCAAACTTGCCGAAACTACGACCGAAACCGAATGTGCATTCGGGAGTTTCCGCGCTGTTATCGGTCATGTTCGGCGCGTTGAATTAGTGAATGAATCCGATCAGAGCCAAGCCAATATCGTGATTCGCTCGCTTGTTTGTTTGCTGTTAGTTTTGTTTTGTTGTGGTGGCGAGTTTTCGAGTGATTTATTTTGAATTTGGTAAGTTTTATCTCGTTTTATGTCGTTATAACATAAGAGCGGGTGTAAAAATAAAAAAAAATCAATATGACTGATAAAAGTATAATCAAGTTTAATCTAACCTATATTTTTTTTTGGTTCGCAAATGCTATACGTAAACAAACAATTTAGTTAAGTAGTTAGTAATGACTATAGTGCATTTCATGGTGATAATATTATTATGGATTCAGAGTTTCAAAGTTCATTTTAGTATTTATCAACAAGGTATCCAAGTGGCAAGTACAGTAGATACTAACTTACGTACTACCTACCAATTTTGTTTTGAGAAATTATTAAGGTAAAAGACCCGNAAAAGATTTTAGCAATTTAATTCACAAAATCAATTGCGCACATTTAAAATAAAGTTTGTTTACACTTTGACAGCAATAGACTGACATGCAAGGTGACATGTCAATGAAGTTTTCAGTTATTGTTGCCATTAAAAGAAATTAGTACCATTAGATTTCCGCAACATGGCGAGGGTTTTTATGTTCCTGGTCGGGCTATAATAAAAAGAAATCTAGACTATAAATCCTTCTTTTCTTTTTTAATACATAATTTGATACCTTTTAGAGTAAAAAGGAACTTTATAAGTTCAATTTTAATGCAATTTAAAGAGAAAACAATAACTGACTGATTATAACAACGTTTTCTTTATTTTTCCCTCAAAATATGAGCCTTGTAAGGAAGTTTCGGTTTCGGTTTCGGTTTCGGTTTCGGTTTCGGCCGAAATAGACACCGTTGCCGAAATTCGTTTTCGGTTTCGGTTTCGGTCGTAAAACTTGTTTCGGTCGGACACTAACATTAATATTAAATTACCTACTGTTTTGATGTTTTGTAAAAAAAAATTTTTCATTGATAAAATCATCATTCTAAGTAATAAATAAACATAATCATTGACAGATTTCAGAACAGCAAGCAAGTTCAAGTAGTATGGTAACTGGTAATTCACTAAAACTTAAGACTTGCTCCGTTGGCGAAACATTGAATTTGTCAACTGATCTAAATATGGGAGAACTCAAAACATTCTCAATATAATTAATTACCTACTTTATCAGATATAAAGTGTATGTTACACACGGAAGACGTGTGACCACATTGTGATTTCAAACTTTATCTAAAGATTTTAATCTTGTTTACTATTTCCCAAAAATATTGAAACAGCATACAATTTGGGTGCACAGATAAAAGATAAGGGACCAAAACAAACCAACGGCAACGATAGCAGCCATCTCTCAGTATTTGTCAACACTATCGCAATTAGTTATCTGATAACGCCGGTCATGTTTTGTTTGATGACATTCTGATAAGCGAGATGCCCAGAATTTGAACTGCTCTTGTTATGGTAGAGGACGTGGACGTTGTATTTACTTGCCTGTCTTTCTTCAGCACATAGAGAGCTCTTCTAAACGTTTTCATTAAAATCCAATGGCGTCCTCCAGGGCCTTTTGGTACGAGATCCAAGAGTACCTATGACCATTCACGCACGTGGAACATCGAGCCCGACTTTCGGCGTTTTTCTCTAATGCTCCACATGCTTCGATATAACTATGCCGAAATAAAATTCGAACAATACAGACGAACTAAGTATATAGAGTTTGGACACTCTTCACTGAAATTCAGTGTAGCTGACATTTACTTTTTTCTACAAGGTATTATTAATAACGACACTACTTCTTCTTCATATTACTTTCCTTTATTAATTACCATCGACTCTAGCATGAAGCGTACGTTAATACTTGACATATTAGGATCAAACCGAGAATTTGAAACTAGAAGGTCTACAATCCATCAAGTAAGGTAATTGGAAAGTGGAAAGGCAGCAAGGTATTTAGTGATCAATTTACTAATAGGTAGACTGAAGATATCAATATTAATTACGGCGATCGAGTAGACCATAATTGGCATTGATAAACGACCAATCTGGGCGTGGACGTTGAAAACTTAATGAGCTGATTACGAGGCGAGGTCGTCCTCGTAATCGTACGGTCATGCATGCCAGATTATAGAGTGCAATAATAATTGATAATGCTTAGCTATATAAAAGACCATTAATTTTAATTCAATATTAATAATAATTTTAATTAATTGATTTTGATATTCTTGTCATAAAGATTTTTAGTAATTACTAGCTTTCCACCCGCGGCTTCGCCCGCGTGGAACTTTGTCTGTCACAAAAACCTTTATCGCGCGCGTCCCTGTTTCAAAAACCGGGATAAAAACTATCATATGTCCTTTCCTGAGACTCAAACTATCTGTATGCAAAATTTCATCAAAAACGGTTCAGTGGTTTAGGCGTGAAAGCGTAACAGACAGACAGAGATTACTTTCGCACTTAGAATATTCTTCAGGAAGAATCGGACATAAGGCCAAATTATACCTAGCGTGAAAAGATAACTAGTCAGACCATAAATTTTTGTTGCAAATTCGCCCCTATTGCAAGTTGATAAGAGGTCACAGTGTTTAACTTGATAATATCTCATCGTCTGTACTTACGTACATAACACTTAAAATTAACAAATAATGATAAAATTAAAATTTATTGTTCAATGAAAAGATGGTATCGTCGCAATTTATGTCACGACGATTAACGATTTGGACGAGACCAGTAAGAATCTAATTAATCACTCGTAATAATCACTAAAATAATTAGGTTGATCCTTGATTGGATTGGAAGTTAAGTATATTGATTCGTGAAAAACCTACCCTAATTATATTATTTATTAATACTTCTCGAATCAACATAAACATAAACAGCCGTCTCCAACTCAGGCAGTAAAGTTCGAGCGGCCTCCAAAAATAGACGCCATCCAGGGCGTAATGTAGTGCGGTAATAGTCCTGTTTACGGCTCCAGGATTCCCGGGACGTTTACAGCCAGACTGACTCACAGACGGGTCCCGACAAGGACATGTCTGAGCAGGAATTAGTGGGATTAACACCCTTATTGTGATGTCTCTTCCGTTGAATTGAAGTTGAATGGGAGAAGTGATGGTACATTTTGAAAGTATAAGAATTCGCAATTCTTCCATAAGTGCCATGGGCGACGATAGTGAAAATAATAAATATCTTTGGACAACCTCACACAGCGCCATCTAGCCCCAAAGTAAGCAATTAATATGCTTGTGTTATGGGTGCTAGCTTAACGGATATACTACTTATATACTTTTTTTTTAATACATACATAATAAATTATACATAGTAACACCCAAACCCGTCACAGAAATTAAAATTCATCATTTCAATTTCTGCCCGGCCGGGAATCGAACCCGGGACCTCTCGGCATAGTAGTCCGTTCTGAACCACTACACCAAACGGCCGACAAAATGTGTATTTATAGACATCTACTCACTCGATAAAACACCCAGTAGTGGACATTATCAGGGACTTGTTAGGCGATTGTGTGGATGTGGATATCCCATTATCATCACATGTTGTTTTCCAGCCCGGCTTATAACATCCGGATTCCCTACTGGTTTGTCCCTAGTGTATTATCAGCGAAAGCTTTAGTTGATTTGTTTCGGTTTTGAAAGTCCTAAATCCGGCTAATTCGCAACGAATTACATTGTACATTTATTGTACGAGAACAATGTGTATTTAAATTACGCGAATTCAATGCACAATCAGTCAGGTGCTTAATTGTATAATCCCTGCATTCGATGACGAATCAGTATCAGCATTTTGGTATTTCCAAACACACGTGTTTCGTAACACCGTGCATTGTACTAATTAAGTTTATCGCTCGATTGTTTCGATTAATTAGTATGCGTATTGTTAACGAGGATCCTGTAATAAGCCTTCAATTGGAACACGAGGGGTCACGGCTTTTTGATACTACCTTTTAATTTGGGTAATTTTAGGTGATTAATATTTTAGAAAGTGCTTTTGCGGTTGGTTTAGGCATGTTCTAATCATAATATATCGCACATTGTTAATTTTATTTATTGTTGATTATTATCATGTGTCACCTACTTACATTAATCATTTTAGTCATCTACACGATGTTATAATTAACACAACTGGTCTGAGGCTTTTGTATTTTATCAATAAAGTATTTGTGACCACGGAGACATATTTCTGAACTTTCTACGTAGTTTCCTGGTGTCGGTCTTATACATGAAGTTCATGTTTGCCATTTTATTTTATGGCGGTTGTTCATCTTTTCAAATACTAGTAACTCCTATGGACCTCCTCTTCATCTCCGTCAGCAGGGGTACGCCGTGACAACAGAGGGCCCCCGCTGAAAATCAGTTTCAAGACAAGCCCTGGCGGTCTTGATGTACGCTGAGCGGGTGCCTTTTTGTCAGAGGGGCACAAGCAGTTAATTGTCCACTTGTTTATTTCTCTCTGTTTTAATCTATGTCTTACCTGCTTTTATACCTTTCCTGCAAATAAAAAGTTTTCTATTCTATTCTATTCTATTCTATTCTATGGAGCCGTAAGCTTTTAAAGACACTTTATAGGATGGCAATACTCATATATCCTGTGATCCACACAGATGGGCGTACGTAATGGAGAGCAAACGACAAATCCCGCCATTTGTCGCGCTGAGTGGCGCATATCTCTCCACACAAAGGAAATGCGGGTATTCGGGGACGCGCGTAAAAATATTATCAAATGGTAGCCCGCTCCGTTGTTGGAGATAAATGATGGGTAAACATTCATTGATGTATTTTTAGATACCTAATATTTTATTTTGTACAAGCTTTTGCACGCAACTTCACCCGCGTGTAATTAAATTTGTTAGAGATCATTATAATTTACAGCTCATATTTTATTACAAATGCAGTGTTTACCTTGTTTGTACTTTTAACGCTATCTGGATTCACTTTAAAGAAACTGTATCGTATTTATTTTATTTTTTAATACCTACTAGCTTTCCGCCCGCGGCTTCACCCGCGTGAAATAGGGCTGTTTTAGGGTTTTCCCGGAAATTATTCGATTTTTTCTCGCCGTAAAAACCATCCTTGGACTCCAAGGAACATTAAATAAAAATAATTATTAAAATTGGTCCAGGTGTTGTTGAGTTACGCGCTTACCAACATTTTGTGATTAATTTTTATATTATACAAAATATGTGTAATAACAACTGTCACCACCAGAAAAATGTTCGTAAATAACTGACGATGAACACATCTGCTTTAAATTAAATATTTGTAATATACCTACACGTATAATAAAAATAATCGCTATTTTTAGTAATGTTTATTATTATAAACAGGTAAAACATTTTTTATTTTAATTTATTTCTTTATACTAATAATAAATCTCCTTCAGCAAGAGAAATAGTATTCTACTAGGCTTCATTTCATTGGACTCGCTCGCAGTTCTTGAAGGACCTTTATTATCTTTCTTTGTCAATCCGAAGAATACGCGACCGAAGCTATCATCAAAATAGCAGCGTTTCGGAGAAAATTGAAATAGGTAGGGTAAGGTGGGGCACAATGTTACACGGGGTACAATGTTACAATGCATATTTCTCCGTCCCTTTCTATTAGTTGTATGATGTTCAGCGGCTCAGTTCAGCAGCTCTTATGAGCTTGACAAACGTGTATACCAACATCATACAAGTAATAGAAAGGGACGGAGAAATATGCATTGTAACTTGTAACATTGTACCCCGTGTAACATTGTGCCTCACCTTACCCTACTGGAGAAAAATTGCTCTAAGATTTTCTATCAAAACAAGAATGTCACGTAGCGTTATAGCATTTCATTTTCTTTTCAAGCTACACGAGTCGAGAGATCGATACGTCTTCAATAACTATCCTGTTTTGTAGTCGGTACACCGAGGTTTTTTGTTATTTAAATTACACTGTAGTAGGTACTAGGTGAGGAAAACGGTGGGCGGGAGTTTGCATCGTGCGGTCCACACAGCTTATGACCGCAGTCTGTGGAGGAACACTATCTGTGGTCGCGATCCTCATCAGTGAGGGACCGAGGAAGAAGAAGTAGTAGGTACTTGATGACTACATTAACATAGTGCATACTATACAGTTGAAATATATAAGATTTGGCAAAAACTGGCTTGTTATTGCTGACTCTACATTACCAAGTTCTCCAAGATATTTCCAACCCTATAAGATCTAAAGCAGGCACTTTTATATCTTTTTGAAAAGCTCTTATAAATGTATTCAATTCATTACATTTTGTAAGGTTGTTCTCACGAAATAACACCTGTTATCGCTCATTAATTTCGTTCAAATAGGATGTAGAGACCGACAGCCATCGTTTACATTGGATATCAATAACAAATGCTGACTTTCAAGCATAGTTTAAGGGGATGTTCAAGATGGCGAAACAATTAGCACAGCTATAGTTTAGAAGCGAGAACTTTTCTAAGAAGTTTATAGAAAGTGCCCCAGCGACTATCGCTCATTTCCAATCCATATCTCATTGCAATTCCACAGACGTACGATGACGTCCGCCGCAGATTGGAAACCAATATCGTTCCTATAGCAGAAACCAACGTGGTTCATATAGCAATAGGATTATCGTCCGACCGCATTGGTTTGCTAAATATCAACTTTCTACGCGTTGCATCATTGGCGTACTATATCTGTATAATTTATCTACTATTACGATGTTTCCTCCAGTTGGTTAAATATCGGTTTCCTCGTATTACAGTTCGTATGCACGTCCGCGCTAAAATTGCATTTTTCAGATGAAATTATATGTTGCCTGGTGAGTGGTGACAGCTCTAGGTCACAGCAATGCATTATTTTAAGGAAAACCAAACAGTCCGATTAATTTCAAATATACAGGACTACTCTGTCAGTAGGATTCTAGAAGGAGCTATACGTCATCATCAGCACATAAAAGCAAAAATATGAAAATTTCAACCTGTTTATACTATCCCGTGTGACACATGAGGATAGCGGATCAGCGGTTATGTGTTTCGGCCCTTAACTAGCTCTAGTTCAAAATTAAAACAACCGAAACATCATGTCGTCAACATAAAAGATCAAGTAAATAACAACAATATACTCACAAAATACCGGCATTTCTCCACGACCTCGACCCTGGAGGCGAAGGTCTCGTTGGTGGCCTCGATCTCCAGCACCCTGCCCTTCAGGTCCAGGTGGTTCTTCTGGATGAAGTAGATGTAGTCGACGCCGATCATCTGGAAACACACGATGCTTCAGTAAAGGGCTTCGAGTTTTGGGTTGCCAGGTGTCCGGTTATTTTTGCTTCGGACATGTTTGGCTTTTTACGGTCTTGTCTAGCCTGTCCGGCTTTTGTTAGGCTTTTTATGTGGCTGCCGCGCCAGGCGAAAGTCGAGCTACAGAATAATATCAAGCGCACGCATCAGGATGTTGGGCAACCGATGATTGTAGTACTCACTCGTGTGACACTACAATTAGTGTGCAATCACATGTCCGGTTTTAGGGTAAAATGTCCGGCCAAATGAAGCACAGAGTCCGCCTTTTGTGTTTTTGGACCTGGCAACCCTAGCTTCGAGTCATTATGCAGGAAAGAAACATCCCACCAAAATGGTTTTCTTGTTCTTGCCGTGTCGATAACAAACCTACACAGTGTCAGCCCAAAACTCCGCCACAAGAGTGGTGTTGTCAGTAGTTGGTTCCTTTTAGAACGTAGGTGCTCACTAAGATGGGAATTTGCAAAATTCAACCCCTCAGGGGATAAAACGGGATCCACGCGTACGAAGTCACGGCGGGCGGCCGCTAGTTATACATTTTCTTATTCTTATTATTCTAAAATTCTACTTTACAAGTGCCTCTATAAAACACTTTAGACAACAAGGAATTCGTGTAATCAAAAGCTAATCCAATCTGCCAACAAATTAATTATTTCAGAGATCTTCATCTCAAAGGACTTGGTTAGATAAAGGATCTGCATCTGGATAAAGGGTAGGAATTCGCTTGAAATAACATTCCCCTTTGCTTTGTTTGTCATAAAACAATTTAGATGAGATTATAACAAAACTATGTTATTATGCTATAACGCCGTAAATTGAGGCCTCTGTAATATCACGTTGTCACTGAAAACAAATTTTGTTTACGAAGATTTCTTTAATTGTTTCGGACTTAATTAAGTGGACTTGGTAATTAATTTATTCATATTTCCCCAAAAAGGTAAACTTGGATGAGCTTTCAGAGAAAACTTTTAATTGAGAGTTTTTCCACGAATCTAACGCAATTGCCGAATTACATATTTATATAAAAATCTTTTCTGGAAGGTTGTTAAGGTTTGCGTCCTATGCAAAAATAAAGAAATCTTACTTCTCAACCCAAGTTTGGCCAGAGGCGCTGAGTTTCGCATATTTGGCATTGTTGACACATTGGAAAGAACTCGTATGATTCTTCTTCTTCCTCGGTCCCTCACTGATGAGGATCGCGACCACTCATACAGTGTTCCTCCACAGACTGCGGTCATAAGCTGTGTGGACCGACTCGTATGATGATCAACCTTATTATCTGCAGTGTTTATACTTTGAACTTCATGGAAAAATTTATTTATTGACACTAGGGAAGTAATAACACACCTTTTTGAGCAAGTATGGTGCCTCCACATTGAGCTGGCAGCGGCGCGTGGTGTGCCGCTGGGAATCGTCCGCCGACCAGCTGTCGTCGGTGATGACGCACTCCAGCACTACTGGAATCTGAGGGCAGTTCGGGAACCGCCTCTCGTATGCCTGGAACAAACAAAAAGGTGTCTTTAGGTATCATAAATAAGTTATTATTTCCAGCTGTCAAAGGTGACTCGAGTTTCATCCGCCACTTCTTCTCAGCTCCTGTCTAAGTTATATTGTTGACCTGTATCAGTGCCCTGAAAAGGGCTTACACAGTAATGATGATTTTGATTAGATTTTTGAGCGCCCAAAGTAGGTTGTTACAAAGAACGAAAAAAATGCTTGAATCTTGATGATTTGTTCGATTGCATAGGGGAGTTGTAATTTGAGTGCTTCAAAAATACATGTCTTCAGAATTTGTAAGACTATGGAGCATATTGTTCCTACCGTATTTACGTTAAGGTTCAAAACATTGAACAATTTTACTTCTAGCGAGTATCGTTCTGGTAAAATACCATTTCCTTGCTTCAGGCGTTATAAATTGGTGTATTTAACCCAGCCGTTTGCTTAAATAATTACGAGGTTCCAGACAAGACCCCTACAATGACTGCAAACACATAGTTTAATAGAACAAACAAAGTAACGTGTAAGTNTCGCCATAAATTATGAAACTTGATAGTCATGGATTTGACTGACAGCTGTCCGTCAAATTCCCGCCCCGCACCCCGCACTGTACATATTTTGTTCGCGATGTCTGTTCTATACGTAGTAATATTACTTCAATGGTACCTAAAGCGTATCCAGGTCAAAATGACACTGTGCCCACCTGCACTGTGATTCGGTATACGGTATATGTACATAGCATGTATGCTGTTTGTATGACGTTTGTGTGTCATCACAAGTCGCCAACAACATCGCTCCATTCAATATTCCGCTTTGTAAGTTACCATGTAGCGCGATTCGCGGCGACACAATCGCATAGTGATAGGGTTGTCAGGAGAAAGTCATAAAAATTATCAGATATTTAAAAAAAATGAGAACAAAACCGGTACCGACGTGTTCAAAAGGAAAGGAAATCGCATCAGCAAGATGTGAAAAGAAACAAGCTTTCAATCATATGAGGGACTTTCTATCAATCAATATTCTACCGGCCATAACTGGCTACTTCAAAGTTAATTTTAAGTTTCCAACCACTTCATCTCTCCCTGAGTGAACAAGTCATGTACTTAGCTTAATTTCATCACAAAATATGTTTAAATAAAAACCTGTGAGCATTAAGTTTTGAAACTTTGGTACTCACACTATTAAAATTCGCTGAAAATCAGATACGATTTTTGCTAAGTGGAAAGTATTTGTTAATTTTTCTCTTTTTTTTCCTAAATTCTAAAACTTTAAGTTTTGAAACTTTGGTACTCACACTATTAAAATTCGCTGAAAATCAGATACGATTTTTGCTAAGTGGAAAGTATTTGTTAATTTTTCTCTTTTTTTTCCTAAATTCTAAAACTGTTTCCCTATTACACTCTACTCACTTCTAGAAGTTTAACGCACCCTTTGATTGGCACCAGCTCCAGCGGAGATAAGATATTGTTCGCCGTGAACAAAGCGAGGCAACCCTGTTACTGCCGACTGTCAACTGCCAACTAGCACCCCTGTCAGCCAGCGCTGGCGTATTGTGTGCTCGGTGTTTTGTTGCTGACAACAGAATGTTGCGCTTGCGGTAACTTACGGATACAGTGCTGCTTCTCTGTTCTGTAGGTTTTGTGTATTTACTTGTTAGTGAGGACGCGTCTACGTATAGGAATAGGATATGAAAAGGGTCCTACTGGGAACTTAAATAAAAGTGTTAACTATAGGTATATCGATAGGGCTGCAGCTGGTTTACAATTAGATTTAAGTACTAAACTACTAGGTGGACCGACGATCTGGATCTGGTAAAGGTCGCGGGAAGAACCTGGATGCGGGCAGCGCAGGACCGTTCATTGTGGAAAACCTTGGGGGAGCCCTTTGTCCAGCAGTGGACGTCATTTGGCTGAAACGAACGAACTAAACTACGCGACGTGGTGTTGCAGAATGACGATCGCGAGTTGGTGGTCCTTATGATGTATGGCTGGGGGCCCAAGCGAGTGGCGGCGCGCTGGTGGTGGTGGGATCCCTTCTGCACATCTGCCGTGCCTCGAAGACCAGTCAGAAAGAATATTTAATAGCTAACAAAAATATTTCTGATTCTGTGATGTAAAGTTAAACAATCGATGGTACATACATTGAGCAAGGATAATGAATATGAATGAGGAGGCAACCTATGTACACGTGTGCTTGTTAACCGAGGTTCTAAAATAGAAAACGATATCTACCTAGACGAAATTATTGGTAAAAAAACCTACAAAAATATCAAATTAAATCCGAATGGCTTGGCTTTGCCTTTAACCCATTATAGACTGAGTTTTCCTAAAGTGTCAGATTTTTGTTTTTTTGAAATATGTTCATAATTATGGTCTACATAATGCTATACAAGCCTTAAAAAAAATGATCCGACCTGTAATCTAGAAAAAAAATGCTGGTACCATATGGTACCGCTAGCCTCTTACCGTGTCAGTCGGTTAAAACATAACTTTATCATGGAGTTTATTATTATAATAATAGGGTAAATTATATATTTTACTATTATTATAATATGTATAATATACAAGCAAATAACAGAAGTTATATTAAATGTAAAAAAAACTGTATGTTGGGTAAGCAATATTCATTTTTATCTTTGAATATTCAAAAATTTGGAATGGAGCTTGGCATTGCACGCTGCACATAGTCCCACGTTACATTTTCTATACTCTAATATTGTTCGAGAGTTGCAATTATCTTGAGTTCATTCTATAAATATCTGCTTCGTCTTGGGACCTTCATCGTCCTCCAAAACTGCCAATGTTTCGTGTAAGTTACATCTAAAATAAATAAAAACCCATGGTTTTGTAAAGTATGGGAAACTATTTTACTTTATCTTCCTGTATTGTATATATACCATTGAATATATCACACACTTCCCAATAAATACAGTAAAAACTAAAAATCATAAAATAATTAAAAAGACACGGTAAGCGGCTAGCGGTACCGTACGGTACCAGTAATTTTGACATACAATATTTCCCATTATTATTACCTATCGACGTAATTTTACACCATTTCACAATAAGAGCACTCATGGAGAATACAAGATTGTAACAAAATCAGTATTTCACTATCACACAAAAAAAATATGATCACTTACTTGAATGGCGCGTCAATTTTCAAGAGAAAATTTTGATGCGCTCACTTCAATCATCAATTACACACAACTGAAAAGAATAACTGTCAATTTTTATTCCTAGAAGCATAGACCATATCTATTGGCTACTACTTGCATCAATCAGAGCACTGCATCTTTTCACATGTTAATGTATAGAGCCAAATTAAAACACACAAAAAAGTGGTACCATATGGGACCGCTAGTCTATAATGGGTAGTATTACAATTTGAAACAAACAAAGATATCGGCTGCTTAAAACTTGACGAGCAACAATGAGCTGCCTAATTGTAATGCAGATACATGCGTCTCAACCTCTCAACCATATAGACATTGGATTGAGCCAGATCAAACCGGATCGCAAGTACATAAACTCATTGATAGTCCATCGCGCGTATTCGTTACATTCAAAATATGAAAAGCCTCTAGCGTAAAGAATAGACCTTATNATGTCTTGAAAAATCGAAGCAATACGACAATATAGTTCAATGGGATCTTCTAAACTTAATAATTCTGACCATTCAACTTCGCGTAACAAATCACTAATCATTTTGTTATTAAAGCATTTTCGTGGCGATGGGCACGTTTTAGGTGTGTCTAAATCAGCTGATAAACCCGTTATGTAGTGGTCTGCGACCCTGCTAGTTACTGTGTACGCCCGGAGTGAGCCCGCCGCCGCCGCAGTCCGCACGAAGACATGGTCGATGCATGACGCTACTCGCCGTCCCGCAGTTACACACTCGCGTGTGACGTCCCNTAACCTCCTCAAATGTATTCAATTCATTACATTTGTGAGGCCGTTCTCACGAATGAACACACCTGTTATCGCTCATTAATTTCATTTGAATACAATTTAGAGACCGGCTACCATCGTTTACATTGGATTGTGATTGGATACCATTAGCAAATGCGGACTTACAAGAATATGAAAGGGGAAGTTCAAGTTGGCAAAACAATTAGCGCATCTATAGTTTAGAAGCGAGAACTTTTCTAAGAAGTTTATAGAAAGTACCCCAGCGACTATCGCTCATGTCCAATCCATATCTCATTGCAATTCCACAGACGTACGATGACGTCCGCCGCAGATTGAAAACCAATATCGTTCCTATAGCAGAAACCAACGTGGTTCATATAGCAATAGGATTATCGTCCGACCGCATTGGTTTGCTAAATATCAACTTTCTACGCGTTGCATCATTGGCGTACTATATCTGTATAATTGATCTACTATTACGATGTTTCCTCCAGTTGGTTAAATATCGGTTTCCTCGTATTACAGTTCGTATGCACGTCCGCGCTAAAATTGCATTTTTCAGATGAAATTATATGTTGCCTGGTGAGTGGTGACAGCTCTAGGTCACAGCAACGCATTATTTTAAGGAAAACCAAACAGTCCGATTAATTTCAAATATACAGGACTACTCTGTCAGTAGGATTCTAGAAGGAGCTATACGTCATCATCAGCACATAAAAGCAAAAATATGAAAATTTCAACCTGTTGATACTATCCCGTGTGACACATGAGGATAGCGGATCAGCGGTTATGTGTTTCGGCCCTTAACTAGCTCTAGTTCAAAATTAAAACAACCGAAACATCATGTCGTCAACATAAAAGATCAAGTAAATAACAACAATATACTCACAAAATACCGGCATTTCTCCACGACCTCGACCCTGGAGGCGAAGGTCTCGTTGGTGGCCTCGATCTCCAGCACCCTGCCCTTCAGGTCCAGGTGGTTCTTCTGGATGAAGTAGATGTAGTCGACGCCGATCATCTGGAAACACACGATGCTTCAGTAAAGGGCTTCGAGTAGGGGTTGCCAGGTGTCCGGTTGTTTTTGCT